CGCATGCAGCAGAACGAGCATTCCTCTGTTCATCAGCCGCTCTAGCGTCTCAGTACGTGTTTACACTGCATTTCTGTGCGATGTGGTAAACCCGGCCTGTGCCAGGAATGACATCTGTGTCCTAATCAATCTGAGCAGTAAACAAACGCTCGTTCTGTTGAGGGGAAGTCGAGACGAAAGCTCTTGATCAGCTCTCTGCTTCATAGAGTCAAACGCCTGCTGTAGTGTGAGAGATGATAATGTGTTAAATGTTTCAGGTTCACACACACAATAGTTTGTCTTCATATGTCTGTGGCTTCCTCAGGATGCGGATCTCCCTGCTCTCTAAAAACACAACACTTGGTCCTACATGTTTTTAAGCGTAACTTCTAACAAAAGCTCGATGTGACGACACTGGGTTTCCACAAGATCACTGACACTGACAATGACTTCAGTGTGTGCACTCACCTCAAAAAAACAAAAAACAACAACAGTTTCTTAAATAAATTGATACTTTTATTCAGCAAGGATGCATTGGATTGATCAAAAATTACAGTAAAGACATTTATGATGTTACAAAAGATTCTATTTCAAATAAATGCTGTTCTTTTGAATTTTCTCTTCATCTGTGAATCCTGAAAAATAAAATGTCTCACGGTTTCCACAAAAATATTGTGCAGCACGACTGTTTTCAACATTGATAATAATCAGAAATGTTTGTTGAGCAGCAGATCAGCATATTAGAATGATTTCTGAAGATCATGTGACACTGAAGACTGGAGTAATGATGCTGAAAATACAGCTGCACATCACAGAAATACATTACAGTTTAACAGATATTCTCATAGAAAACAGCTGTTTTAAATTGTAATAATATTTCACAATATTTACTATATTTTGAATCAAATAAACGCAGCCTTGGTGAACAGAAAAGATTACTTTCAGAAACATAAAAAATCTTAACTTGAAAATTTTTGAACAGTATAGTATATATATATTCAGGATTTTAAAAATTATTATTAAAGATAAAATATGCAATAAATACACATTAAAATGGTGTGGGAATTACATTGAAATAATTCTTTAGTCAGAAATTGCTAGTGAATTTCACAAATAATTACAAATAATTGGCAGGTAACACATTGAATTTAACATGAACTTTTGAATTAGAAAAAAATGAAATAGTAATTTCTTGTAAAACCTAATCCAATAATCTTTGCTTTAACTTTGAAAGATCTTTTTTTTTTGTATAAATTACTGTTGTGTTTTTTGAGAGTTAGTGTTGTACTCCTTCATATGAAAGCTTGTTTCTGCCTTATTTAATAATAAATGATTTTATTTCTTTTGATGGCAGCTTTTCATTATTGCTTAGATGTTTCTCATAATTGTTACTTTATAATATGTCTTACTATGACTTTACATCTCACAGTGTGAGATAATGTTTCATACAAGTGTTCTTATTTTAAGCTTTATCGCACAATTGCTTGTTTTATTTTGTATTCTGTGGTGGAAATAGGTTTTTCACCCCAAAAAAAATAATAATAATAATACAATAAAATAAAATAATAAATAAAAAAAATTAAAAATAAAAAAATTATAAAATAAAAAAAATTATAAAAATAAAAATAAAATAATAAAATAATAATAAAATTAAAAAATAAATAAAATTAAAAAAATAAAATAAAAATTAAATATTAAATTAAAATAAAATAAAATAATAAATAAAAAAAATTAAAAATAAAAAAATTATAAAATAAAAAAAATTATAAAAATAAAAATAAAATAATAAAATAATAATAAAATTAAAAAATAAATAAAATTAAAAAAATAAAATAAAAATTAAATATTAAATTAAAATAAAATAAAATAATAAAATAATAATAAAATTAAAAAAAAATAAAATAAAATAATAAAATAAAATAAAATAATAAAATAAAATAAAATAAAAAATGTTTTAAATAAAATAATAAAATAAAATAAAATAAAGTAATAAAAATAAATGGTTTCCAAACTGTTTTGTGAACAACCACATAGATGGCTGAGTTTCAACAATAAGAACGCACTGGATTTCTGTGAAGGCTTGTTTTGAGTTGGACTTCTCCTCGGGTGACATTGTGAAAACAAATGAGAATGAAAATGTTAACCACATCTGAAAACATCTAAACCGAATCTCTCCAAATCCATGCAAGCAGAGAAGCTCCACACCTTCATGTGGACTCCAGACAGAAGACAAGCCGCTTTATTTCCCCGCTGGCTTGATAACTTTCACAGACGGTCTGAAACGAGCACGAGGAGTTCAGCGTGATCTCTGTGTGTTTTCAGTCCTCCCACAGAGAAATATTATGAAATCATCAGACTTTCAATCGAGCAGTCTTTGTTTAGCAGACCTCATCCTGAACGGTTTCCTGAGCGTCATCACGAAGGCCTTGAGATCCGCCTGAGACAGCAGGAGAAACCAGAACTACCGCTAGACTGGAGATGTGAAGTGTGTGAATGTTTTATGAGCTGTGATGATTCGGCATTCTCTGATCACTCTCGATATCACAACTCAGTCGGACTTGATAGATCTTTTCCAAATACAGCATTATATGTCAACAAGGAAACTTTCTGAGAAGGAAACTTTTCTTAAACTCTAGACATATTTGTGAACGTCTCTATAAGAAAAACCCCCCAAACATCTGGTGTCTGTTAGTAATTGGGCTTAATAAAAGTATTTGGATACTCACCAGATAAAAGAAAGCGATGGCCCGCTTAAATACAGTTATTATCTATCTATGCTTTCTTATACGGTTGATTTAGATTCAGGTATTCAGTGATTTAAGGGTGTATGTCATATAAACGTCAAGTGTAAACCTCTAAGCTCTCTTGTTCATAGTTTTTTTTCAGCATTGTGAATTTAATGTTTATGCATATGGTTTATAATTTTGTAAACAATATTTTTAGTGTTTTTTTTTTTTACATGCTTAATACGCATTTCAGTATAAAATCTGACATTTATTTTTTTTCTTTTAAGTAAATGCATGTCCTTATGCATGATTTTTTTTAAACGTTGTTATCTAAGTAAAACTTTGTACTTAGATATTATTCTTTGATGAATAGAAAGAACATAAGGACAGCATTTAATAAATAAAAAAATAAAAACAACTTGAAATGTGTCGGTTTTAATCAGTATAATGCATCCTTGTAAAATAAAGTGTTAAGAGCAATTCTAAAATTTCTTGGATGCTCTGCAGTGAATGGGTGCCGTCAGAATGAGAGTCCAAACAGCTGAAAATAGCATCACAATAATCCACAAGTAATCCACAGCACTCCAGTCCATCAGTTAACATCTGGAGAAGACAAAAGCTGCATGCGGGTAAGAAAAAAAAAGTGGTGAAAAAGCACAGATCAAGCAGCGTTTAAACAGCTCTAAACAAATATGTGGCTGGATTTTGATGTGAGAGACAACAGTGGAGTGCTGTGGATTACTTGTGGATTATTGTGATGTTTTTATCAGCTGTTTGGACTCTCATTCTGACGGCACCCATTCACTGCAGAGCATCCATTGCTGAGACACTGATGCAGTGCTACATTTCTCCAAATCTGATGGAGGAACAAACTCATCTACATCTCGGATAGCATGAGGGTGAGCACATTTCCAGCAAATGTTTGTATTTGGTTGAACTATTCCTTGAATATGAAATTGAACATATTTTGAATGATGTCACGTGATGTCGTAGCGTAACAGAGATATATGAGTGGTTTGAATAATTTTTTTGTTCTTACAGTGTTTCTGGTTTGCTCATCTTCCAGTTTGCCAATGTGATTCAGCTGCCAAGCAGTCCGCAGCCTAATTCCATCAGTAATAATTTGTCAAATCTTGGACAATTGCTTCAGTCTTGCAGATGAACTGGAAGGCGTGCATTTCTCTCGGCAGAGACTCTGAATACCTGGAAGTGTCCCTGTAAACAGACCCAGATTCAGTATACTATCAATCACATGGTGTTTTGTTTGAGTTTTCTGCCCGACTAAAACCTTCAACACAATAAATGTTGCCAAATGTTTCTTCGTAAGTGTGTAACGCGCAGGATCTGGTGATATCAGCTCAGCTCTGGATCGAATGAAAGACTGAATAATATCAAAACAATGCCGTTTCACATGTGTTTTGTTAATAAGAAGTCATTTAGAAGTCATTTGCTTTTATCTGAAGTGACTTACGGTGTATTACAGTACACTACACTTGAAGCATGGTTTAATGAAATACATTTTTTAGCACATACATACTTGTTACATCTTGTATCCACAACTATATCAGTGTTCAGAAGTTTGGAGTTGGTGAGATTTATTCATGTTTTTGAAAGAAGTCTCTTCTGCTCACCAAAGCTGCATTTATTTGATCAAATATACAGTAAGAACCATTAAAAAAAAATTTCAATTTAAAATATCTGTTTTCTATGTGAATATCTGTTAAACTGTAATGTATTTCTGTGATGCGCAGCTGTATTTTCAGCATCATTACTCCAGTCTTCAGTGTCACATGATCTTCAGAAATCATTCTAATATGCTGATTTGCTGCTCAACAAACATTTCTGATTATTATCAATATTGAAAACAGTCGTGCTGCACAATATTTTTGTGGAAACCGTGATGCATTTTATTTTTCAGGATTCACAGATTCAAAAGAACAGCATTTATTGTTCTAATACCCAGACAGTTTGAATTCCTAAGAAAAATAATGAGATAGGGCTGAATAATTTATTAGTGCATGCTAATCTAATGACATAAAAAATGTCTTCATAGTGTTTCAAAATCAACATATTAGATCAAATATAAATGATTCTGAAATGACGTCAGTCTTCCATCAACCTGCTATTTCAAAGCTTTTCACAGTCCAATCAACAGCCAATGGTTCTTAGTTCACTACATTCATGGTTCAAACCAGCAGACTTTTGATTAGCAGCCTTGAGCTTTAGCCTCTACATCAGATTACAGACTGGATCATCTCTGTGCTGTTTTGAACAGCTTCTTGTGTTGTTTTTCAGGTTCATCATGGGAGAGATCAATACGGCAGCTGGGCTTTGAAAGGTAAGAGATTGTCTTCTTCAGATGAGAGAGCTGGACTCCTCCGTGTGAATGTTGGCAACACAAAACACATCTCTGGCTTGCAGAGGCTTTGAGCGGCCTAGACGAGGGTCAGATCCATCAGAATGCAGCAAGAAACTGAATACTGAATCTGAAAATAATATAGACGATAAAACATGATCAGGGCAGGTCCATCTGTTCCCCCTCACATATTATATGACAGAACAATGAAAGATATTGGGTAGTATTTTTCATAAAAAGAGAAAAACAGTATCTTGGTGTTGTCTTCCAACCACAGTATTTGTTGAAATATGTACTGCAATGATGCAGTTTATCAACTAAAATGACCAAATGCAGTATCTCTTCAAAGGTTTGGAGCTCTGAAATGACAGATTTCCTTTCTCTTTTTATTATATGAAGGTCACATTAAACTCGGAAAACTGTTCTGTTGACATTTGTTTGTGCTACTTTTTAAAAGCCTTATTTATAGATTTTATTGTTTTACTTATGACTCAAACATTCTGTCTTAAGCAATGGATATTAGTAAAGTAAAATTTCAATAATTGCATTTTTAAAATGATGATAATTCAATTATATATATATATATATATATATATATATTTTATTTTTTTTTTTTTTTTTTTTTTTTTTTTTTTTTATGAGAAACTCCAATCACCTGTACACGTTCACATTGCGCATACGTTTTTTATTGTGCGTTAATCTGTAGTTTTTAAAAAAAATTATATGAAATTGTGTATTTAGGGTACATAAAATGCTAGCTAGGCCGGTCCAACTAGCATATGCACTTAATAAAATGCCAAAATAGCTCTTTGAGGGTTTAAACACAGAAATGGCAATGACAGAAATACTTGAACAAGATATTTTTATTGTGTATCTGTCTGTAATGTTGTCAAATAATGCAAAAAGTGAGAAAATATTATTTTATTGTGCATATTTGGGGTAAATAAAATGCTAGCTATAAAATACAAAAATAACAAACAAACAAATAAATCAATCAATAATTTTTTCCTGTTTTTTTTTCCCAGAAATATTTTAAATGTTATTTTTATCAGTTAATTCTATAACATAACAGTATCAAACACAATGCTAAATTAAAAAATAAATAAATAAAAATAAAAAAATGCATGAAAAGTTCATGAAAAAATGAATTCTCCTGTGATGATGTACAGTACAATATATAACCTGTTCAGCATTGTTGGCAGAGTTTTCATTTCATTTCATTTCAATGGTAATGCGTTTTAATGTAATTTAGTATATTAAGCGATTGCATAGCTGATGGCTGAAGAAACACTCATAAATTCATGTGCACACGCTAATGTGTGGTAACCTGGCAGACTGTTGAATATTTGACTAGATTTACAAACAGCGGGTCTCACAATTACTGCATTAGTGATTAGAGTTTAAGGCCAGCATTTGCGTTTCATTTGGTCCAGTTGGCAGAAACGCTTTGGAGTAGAGCATCTGAACACGGAGTCTGCTCACAGCAGCTGGAAGTGGTTAAAACAGGCATGTTAGTCGTGATCTGTGTGATGTTAGTGACAGACAGCTGTAATTTACCTGACTGTAGAGGAAAAGCAGTGTCTGGAAGTCTAGCACAAACCATATGTGCTGCGAGCCAGATTACATAATAATGCCGTATGCAGCTGCTGTGACTACATGAATGTGTGTACGGCATTACCACAACAATGCAAATGTAACAGGAACATGCTAAAATCACTCAGAACACCTTAGCAACTGCGTAGCAACACCCTGGTAACCATCTACGACAACTTGGCACATACATAGCAACACCCTATCAGCCTTCTACAACACCTTAGAAATGCAGTTCAGTTCAATTCAAGTTTATTTGTACAGTATAGCGCTTTTCACGATGCAAATCGTTGCAAAGCAGCTTTACAGAAAATTTAAGTTTTTACATTATGTTTAGTAATAGCTTATCGGTGGTGACTATCTCAAGTTGATGTCCATATAAAGAAACTGTATAGCAACACAATAAAACAATTAAAACACCTTAGCAACTGCATAGCAACACCCTGGTAACCATCTACAGCACCCTTGCGTCTGTATGGCAACATACTAAAACACTCCGAAAACTTTAGCAGCTGCATAGCTACACTTTGGTAACCATCTACAACACCCTAGCAACTGCATAGCAACTCTTTAGCAACCATCTACAACACCCTAACAACTGCATAGCAACACACTAAAACGCTCAGCACTTTAGAACACTTTAGAAGCTGCATAGCAACACCTTGGCAACCATCCACAACAGCCTAGCAACTGCATAGTAACACACTAAAGCACTCAACACTTTAGAACACTTTAACAACTGCATAGCAACTCCTTAGCAACCATCCACAACATCCTAACAACTGCTTAGCAACACACTAAAATGCTTAACACTTTAGAACACTTTAGAAGCTGCATAGCAACACCTTGGCAACCATCCACAACAGCCTAGCAACTGCATAGTAACACACTAAAGCACTCAACACTTTAGAACACTTTAACAACTGCATAGCAACTCCTTAGCAACCATCCACAACATCCTAACAAATGCATAGCAACACACTAAAATGCTTAACACTTTAGAATACTTTATAAACTGCACGGCAACACCTTGGCAACCATCCACAACAACCTAGCAACTGCATAGCAACACACTAAAACTGCATAGCAACACCTTGGCAACCATCCACAACAACCTAGCAACTGCATAGCAACACACTAAAACTGCATAGCAACACCTTGGCAACCATCCACAACAACCTAGCAACTGCATAGCAACACACTAAAACTGCATAGCAACACCTTGGCAACCATCCACAACAACCTAGCAACTGCATAGCAACACACTAAAACTGCATAGCAACACCTTGGCAACCATCCACAACAACCTAGCAACTGCATAGCAACACACTAAAACTGCATAGCAACACCTTGGCAACCATCCACAACAACCTAGCAACTGCATAGCAACACACTAAAACTGCATAGCAACACCTTGGCAACCATCCACAACAACCTAGCAACTGCATAGCAACACACTAAAACTGCATAGCAACACCTTGGCAACCATCCACAACACCCTAGCAACTGCATAGCAACACACTAAAACTGCATAGCAACACCTTGGCAACCATCCACAACACCCTAGCAACTGCATAGCAACACACTAAAACTGCATAGCAACACCTTGGCAACCATCCACAACACCCTAGCAACTGCATAGCAACACACTAAAACTGCATAGCAACACCTTGGCAACCATCCACAACACCCTAGCAACTGCATAGCAACACACTAAAACTGCATAGCAACACCTTGGCAACCATCCACAACACCCTAGCAACTGCATAGCAACACACTAAAACTGCATAGCAACACCTTGGCAACCATCCACAACACCCTAGCAACTGCATAGCAACACACTAAAACTGCATAGCAACACCTTGGCAACCATCCACAACACCCTAGCAACTGCATAGCAACACACTAAAACTGCATAGCAACACCTTGGCAACCATCCACAACACCCTAGCAACTGCATAGCAACACACTAAAACTGCATAGCAACACCTTGGCAACCATCCACAACACCCTAGCAACTGCATAGCAACACACTAAAACTGCATAGCAACACCTTGGCAACCATCCACAACACCCTAGCAACTGCATAGCAACACACTAAAACTGCATAGCAACACCTTGGCAACCATCCACAACACCCTAGCAACTGCATAGCAACACACTAAAACTGCATAGCAACACCTTGGCAACCATCCACAACACCCTAGCAACTGCATAGCAACACACTAAAACTGCATAGCAACACCTTGGCAACCATCCACAACACCCTAGCAACTGCATAGCAACACACTAAAACTGCATAGCAACACCTTGGCAACCATCCACAACACCCTAGCAACTGCATAGCAACACACTAAAACTGCATAGCAACACCTTGGCAACCATCCACAACACCCTAGCAACTGCATAGCAACACACTAAAACTGCATAGCAACACCTTGGCAACCATCCACAACACCCTAGCAACTGCATAGCAACACACTAAAACTGCATAGCAACACCTTGGCAACCATCCACAACACCCTAGCAACTGCATAGCAACACACTAAAACTGCATAGCAACACCTTGGCAACCATCCACAACACCCTAGCAACTGCATAGCAACACACTAAAACTGCATAGCAACACCTTGGCAACCATCCACAACACCCTAGCAACTGCATAGCAACACACTAAAACTGCATAGCAACACCTTGGCAACCATCCACAACACCCTAGCAACTGCATAGCAACACACTAAAACTGCATAGCAACACCTTGGCAACCATCCACAACACCCTAGCAACTGCATAGCAACACACTAAAACTGCATAGCAACACCTTGGCAACCATCCACAACAGCCTAGCAACTGCATAGTAACACACTAAAGCACTCAACACTTTAGAACACTTTAACAACTGCATAGCAACTCCTTAGCAACCATCCACAACATCCTAACAACTGCTTAGCAACACACTAAAATGCTTAACACTTTAGAACACTTTAGAAGCTGCATAGCAACACCTTGGCAACCATCCACAAGACCCTAGCAACTGCATAGCAACACCTTGGCAACCATCCACAACAACCTAGCAACTGCATAGCAACACACTAAAACTGCATAGCAACACCTTGGCAACCATCCACAACACCCTAGCAACTGCATAGCAACACGCTAAAACTGCATATCAACACCTTGGCAACCAGCTACAACACCCTAGCAACTGCATAGCAACACACTAAAACTGCATAGCAACACCTTGGCAACCATCCACAACACCCTAGCAACTGCATAGCAACACGCTAAAACTGCATAGCAACACCTTGGCAACCAGCTACAACACCCTATCATCGTCACTGCAGGTTTTGCACAGATAAGCATCACTCAAAAAGAAAATCTTCAATTGGGCT